CAGTAGCTAAATATATGCCTAACTATTCCATGATCATCAAAAGAGCAAGAAATTATCAAAACTGTGAATAAACTTCAACCATACTGAAGTTACTCAACATGATTGTAGAGAAATTCTGTTGAAAATGAACTGATAATACTGTCAAGAAATGGAATTTCTGATCATACCAAGATATCAAGCCTTCCAAGATGAGTCTTGACGAATTCAGCAATGGCAGCAACACTAGATGGATCAGCAACGTCAAGCTGATGAAAGAGAAGATCACCAGAAAGACCATCAGTCGCTTTAAGTTTGTGAAAGGCATCAAGTCCCCGCTTCTCATCTCTGGCAGTCAACACCACAGTGATTCCTTGAGAAGCTAACTGCCTGCATATCTCAAATCCTATTCCTTTGTTTGCCCCTGTCACAACTGCATACCTGTCAAAACTGAAAATATTCAGTATATCACTCCGTGAGATGGTTGGGTACTGGCTAGCTAGGTTCTTCCTAAAGGCGACATGATGTGCAAAATGGTAAATAGCAATTTCAGTACCTTTTCTGGATATTCATGGGGGATTCTGCCATTGATTACTCTTCAGAGGCAACAAGTTTTTTGAGACGAAACTATCTCTGAAGTTACTTTATTTTAGTTCCTGAACTATTTATTCAATTGCAACGAATATGCATGGATTTAATTAAGCCATTTTTAACAACTACATAGAAATCTAAGGCCTTGTTTGGATTGGTCGAAAAATTACGTCGTTCCGTAATCACATTTTTCTATTATTTTTTTTCTTTACATATTTTAAATTGCTACAATATTTTTTTCATGAAAAATCATGAAAATGCAATCCAAAAACCATCTAAATTTCTTTCAGCAATGAGTGCCAAGTGGCATTCAGTGATTGGTATAGACAATGTACTAACAACTGGATAAGAAAACAGCTGTGAGGCGTAGTTCCGAGCTGCTGTTGAGGGATGTATGTGCAATTCCCTAGGTCATTTATTTCCTGTTACCTTTGTTGACTGTTTTGATAGCCATTAAATGACTTTGTGTTGTCATTTTTCTACCGGTTAGACCATTCTATGGCACCATTAGATCTTAATTTACTTCTGTAAATCTTTCTGGGCAGAACCCTCTTTTCTTTCTTTCTTTCTTTTTTCCTTTCTTTCCTTTTTTTGGTTAATGATTGATCTCTCTTAAGTTCCTTTGTTCAAATCAATATCTATGCTTTGGTTAGTTTTCCCGGTTGTCCTGTCCTGTTCAATCCGTTCTCCGTTCTTCTTCTGTCAGAACTTGTAACACCCATTGCAGTCCCTGAACGAAGCAGAAAAAAGCTTTCAGTAGGCTGCAAGTTTGCTATTGCTGCGAGCAAGGACTGCTCGCCTTTACACGGCTTGGCTTTCGTTATCGCTCGTGCTATGTAGCAGTCGACCTAAAAAGTTGAGCATTGAATGCAAAGGGAGATTTCATTTAGTTGTCCAAAGAGCATTAAATGCAGCATCAATTTTGCAATTAATAGAAAGGCTATTTACAAAGGGGAAAAAGATAATCAATTAAGGAAAAGTCTGAAGTAACGAGCGTTATGATAACGAAACTGTTTTTACCTGATATAACAGGTAAAAACACTTTTAGCGACCATTTGATTACCTGTTATACTGGTCATCTAAATAAAATAGTACCTAAAAATATGGTTAGTAAGTTTTACATTAAAAATAGTAAGTTAACTCAAGAAATTAGTAACTTTTATGTCTCAAAAAGTAAATTTGAAGAAATATGGAACTTACTTTTTTTTTGAAGTAGATAACTACTCTATATCTAAAACTTACTTTTTGGAGAGTAAGTTTAGTTCAAATAATAGTAAGTTTTTATAGACTAATAGTAAATATTGTTGATAGAATAGTAAATTTGGGTTAATCATCAAAACTTACTAGTTTATGGCATAAATTTACTATTTTACTTAAAGAAACTTATATGGAACAAGTATTAGGAAGTTTATTTGAAATAATGCTAAGATTTTTTATTAATAATTGAAACTTAGTATTATAGTTAGTAATTACTCGTAATGTAAATGTATGATACACAATTGTACGTATCATTTATAAATGTTATATGTTTTAAGCATTTTAAATAAACTATGAAAACTTTTTTTTTGCATATGACCTTATAAAATATGTAAGAATAATTTGTCATATTATAAATTTTGAATTATTTTTGAATTTGTAAAAGGTTAAAAAGTTTGGATGACAGTAAAAAAAAATCTTTTGAGTTATATATAGAATTGCACTTATCTATACATCACAATTTCCATATATGGACACCGATGAATATAATAAAATGGTACGCAATTTTCATATATTAATGCCTATGAATTTAATAAAATGGTAAAATCTTAATAAATTTATTTTCTGGGTCACAAGTATAAAAATTAAAGTTGTATTAACATAGAATAATCTTTGAAAATTATAGTAAAATTACCCATATGTTAAGTTTTGTGACTTTCAAACATACTTTGTATCATTTACATTATGGATTTGTATCCATATGTTTTCTATCAAACTCTTTTTTTATTGGCAAATGGTAAGTAAATTATTATAAAAGGGCATTTTATAATAATCATAATTTTTAATAGATGAATTTTATGTAAACTGTTAAAATTATGAATTCACAAACGACTAAATCTGACTACTTTATGACACATATTAGTCTAAATGACTAAAAAATTACTGTAATCATGTACACGTTGATTGTTGAATTGAAATTTCTTTTATTACTAGTACAAGTTCTTCTAATCAAAGCAAAATAAAATCAAATATCTTTTCCTTTTGTATGCAATAGTTATGCTTAATAGAAAATTATTAAACCATTTTTACAGTACATAATTTCTCCTAAAATTTGTAACATTTACCATGACCTCTAACCTTGACATTGTTATTTAATTTACCTTCTAAATTTAATTTAATTTTCTTATATTAATTGTTATACTAAATTTATAATTTTTGTTATTATATTATTTCTCATTTTGTTTAGGCTTTTACTCTTATTATTTCTTGTGTCTCAGATGTAAATTTATTAAAACTTTATCATCTTATTATATTCATAGGTGTTAATTTATAAAAATTTTGATATATAAACAAGTAATATTCTATATATAACTAGGAAGATTTGTTGTTATTATTATCCAAACTTTCAAACTTTTCAAAAATTGAAAATAATTAAAAACTTATAATACGACAAAATTTTATTACACATTTTACGAGATTATGTGAAAAGTCAAACTTTTTTCCATAGTATTTTAAAATATGTAAATAAATTTTTTTAAATGTTAACTATAATCTTGTATTATACAGGTATATTATGAGTACTTACTAACTAAGGTACTAAAAATTAATCATTAATAAAACATTTTATCGTTATTTCAAATAAATTCCCTAACACTAGTTTGAAATATGTTTTAAAGTAAAATAGTACATGTGTCTCATAAATCAGTAAATTTTGATTATTAATCAATTTTACCATGTTATCAGTAAGAATTACTATTTATGTATTAAAACTTACTATTACATGAATTAAACTTACACTATAAAAAGTAAGTTTGGGATATAAAGTAGTAATTTATTTATTTAAAAAGTAAGTTTAATATTTATTCCAATTTACATTTTGAAGTATAAAAGTTACTAATTTATTACTGTTAACTTACTATTTTAGATGGAAAACTTACTTTCTTATTTTTAAGTGTTATCCTATTTAGGTGGATAAGCCTATCAAATAATCAAATGGCCGCTAAAAGTAAATAAAAAATAAATCGAAAATGGTCATATAAGTGTTATCCTATTTATGTTTCAAAAAGTAAATCGAAATAAAAATGAAAGTTACTTTTTTTAAAAATTAAATTACTACTCTACATTCGAAACTTAGTTTTGTGGGGAGTAAGTTTAGTTCAAATAATAGTAAGTTTTTATAGATTAATAGTAAATCTTGTTGAAAGAATAATAATTTGGTTAATCATCAAAACTTACTAGTTTGTGGCATAAATTTACTATATTACTTAAAGAAACTTATATGAAACAAGTATTAAGAAGTTTATTTAAACTAGTGCTAAGATTTTTTTATTAATGGTTGAAACTTAATATTATAGTTAGTAGTTGTTGGTAACATAAATGTATAATAATGATTGTATGTTTCATTCATAAATGTTTTGCGTTTTAAGCATTTTAATAAATGTATGCATCATTTATAAATGTTATGTGTTTTAATAAATTTATTTTCTAGGTCACAAGTATAAAAGGTAAAGTGATCGTATCTAATGTAGCGTAATCTTTTAAAATTATAGTAAATTTACCCATATATTAAGTTTCGTGAGTTTCAAATATATTTCGTATCATTCACAATATGGATTTACATGCACATTTTTTATGAAACTTGCTTTTAATTGGCAAATAGTATGTAAATTATTATAAAATGTCATTTTATGATAATCATAATTTTTATAGGTGAATGGAATAGGTGCAAGATCTTGATACTGTACTACAACACAAATTTGGGGATAAGTACAAGTTTCAGGCATCGTCATTTGAATTTGACGAATCTCCTAACATTCCTAAACAACCGAATGGGTAACTTTCATTAATGACGTTTTAAAGTCTAAAAAACCGTGTGCTGAGTATTGTATAACATGAGTATTTGAGTTGCTTTTCGAGTTCTGCTCATCAAGTAAGCCAGTCCAATTTGAAGTAAACAGCAAAATCTACATGCACAAGACATTTGATATGAAATTGGTATTTCAAAATAGGAGAAAACGGCTCATTTTGAGCATCAGAATGAATCTAACTTTTAATAATTGATACTTACGCATCAAAATTAAGCTGGCAGGACACTAGATATAGCTATCTAAGCATGACAAGATTACATGGCCAAGAACTGAATTTAGAGCACAAAGACTTTGGCTTCAGAAATCTGAAGCAATCAAAAGGCTAGTAACTTGATTTGAAAATTTGATCACCAGCATCAAGGGCTCTAATATCACTATCAAAAGCTTCAGTTTGGATTGACATTTCTGGTTTACAAACCCAAGAGCACTTGGATGCTAACAATATCTGAAATTTGATCACCAAACTTTTTTCCAAGCAAGCTGAAATTATTCACATTAAAACAAGTAAACACCAGAAATTGCAAACTAAGGAGATTATGTTCAGATTTACAATCAAAACGCATTAAACTACCTTCGAAGAAACTTAAATCATCCTAAAAGCTTTGAGCAAAGACGTGCAAAAACATTTGTACTCTCTCAAGAATAAAATTCCTTAATGGTCTTGGCTGAAATCTGGTTCATTCACTACAAAACCATCACAAGATTTGTATTAAAAAAAGGCCACAACAACACATAATCATAGCAAATAAATAACATAAAACTTAGGCGTGAAGAAGGAAAAATGTACCTGAATACTTTTCATCTCCTAACAAGCTAGTGTTTTGTACATGACTTTGGATTAATGAAGGATTGCATGCCCACATTAATGCCTATACAAATGCAAATAGAGCACCATTATATTTCATGCCTTCACACAAAAATAAATAAAAGCAAGCTACACATTACCTGACCAGGAGGAATGATCTGAAACCAATTACTATCCATTAATTCCTTATTGCATCCATGCTGTGAATCTGATTGCAATAGGCCATCGGATGATCCTATCATATTCAAATTTACATTCTCAACATTATTGGGTGCCCCAACATGATCATAATTGTGAGTTTCATATGCATCTGTGCACACTTTAGTACATTTTCGTCTATCATGTCCAAATGACCTGCGGGAAAAAAATTGCCAAGCACAATCCATAAACAATAAGATTGAATTTATAAAGGCGTATATGAAGTGTACATATATAACTAACATTTTTGGCCTTCTAACATAAAGCCAATGAGTGGATGAAATTTAGCATTGCTCATTCATATCTGGTTTTGCAAAGCTATTCTAACCGTAGAATAAGTCAATTTTAAGAGTAGGTGATTACTTGCAATTTTTGCATCGTCTTCGCTTTCGCTTGTGAGTGGACTGTTTTGCCTTTTGTCCCTTTGTAGCAACAACAATTGGACCAAGAGAAAGTATGGACCAAAGTGGAAACCTTTGCCTGGGAATTCAATCGTATCGTTGGAATTGAGAACTAAATAAGAAGAAGACAGATGACTTTAAAGAGATAGGTGATACCCGAAAGTGTTTCAGGAACCCAAAACCATTTTCAGCAACCCAAAATCATTTTTAGAAACCCGGTGATTTTTTCACTTAAATATGTAAATTTTTTACTTTTAGTATTAGTAAGTTTAGTTTAAACATAAGTAAATTTTGTCAAATAATAAGTAAATTAAATTACTCAAAGTGTAAATTTCTATTTCTGACTAAAACTTATCTTTCAGGCATATACTTACTAGTTTGAATTAAAAACTTACTTATCTTCTCGACTTGGCAACCCGTTTCTTTTCTAGGTATTTTATGATTAGAACTCCATTCTCTCTATATTACAAACCATCATCAAACTAATTGAAAACCTCAATTCTCATATAAACCATTCATCTGAATTTTGTTCCAATCAACCCATTCAACAGATTTATGTTCCAGTCTAATCGTTATGATATAGCAATGGCATTAACAAGCTATTTTGACTCTCCCGGTAAGGGTTTACGTATTAGTAATTTTTTAGGAGGAAGATGAGTTATTCACATGTCCAAAATATCGAAACAACCAGCATAATCTAATCCTTAGTTCAATGAAAGTCACAAATTTGCGGGTCGGTAGATTAGATTATGTTGAATGCCTTTGGCTCTTTACAATGAAATTCAAAATTTTTTCTCATGACAGAGCAAAGACGGTGATATAATTGATTGTGTCTATATGTATCAACAACCAGCATTTGACAATCCTTTGCTCAAAGACCACTGGATTCCGCAGGTTTGCCCCATGCAACACCATTCAAAAGAAAAATAAACAAAAAAATGCAAAAAAATGAAGTATGTATAACACCATAATTGATTGATGGTCGGAAACTGTTCTATGAATTTTCTCTCCTTTCCTGACTGAAGAAGAGGGAAGATGTGATTCTACAAAATCTACATGTATCATAGGATGGTAATAAGAATTGCTTCTGCAACACAGATTTACAAGAGTAATAATGGCCAAATTTCCGTGGCATTGCAGACGTTACAATGGAGTAAAAAATTCAAGAGGCTGATAATAAATTTCCATAGAAACAACAGATTCGCAACAATGATTCTAGATCAGTTCAGTTCAATAACATATGCTCCATCAAGCGTATCAACTTAGAATTCCAAAACGGGAGAAACCTCTCTTGCCTGAAGAATTCAAGTTATAAAGCTCATGTTGAGTTACTAATATATTAGTAATTCTCACCCGCACAGAGTAGCAATCACAACATACAAATTTCTCTTTGACATTTCACCAAACATCTTATATGCATTCACAAATTAATCACATTTAACTTAAACGCCTGGTCTCAAGTCCTTTCCTAGATGTTTCACATGGCTATTAAACATATTTTACCCGTAGACAATCAAAACTACAACCATTTCCTAGATGTTTCAACGGACATTTTCGGCCCCAAAATTGCAATAAAATCTTCAAATTCTCAGCCTTGATTTCCCAAGAAAATCTTGACAAACAAAACAAATAAAATATAAATAAATTACAGCAATATAATCAAACGATTTCAAGAGAACATGATGATCTAACCTCGTCACTGCTATTTTTCATATGCTCTTTGGCTGACTACCACCGTCGCTAACCCTTTTGTTGTGTTTGCATATGGCAGCACTCAAACCCAACCGAACGATGAGAAAGGATAGAAGCAAAGTGTGAACTAAAGATGAAAATTTTGAAGTGAGAAGATTTATTCAATTGTAACAAAGAGAAAGTGTGGATCAAAGTGGAAACCTTTGCCTGGGAATTCAATCGTATCATTGGAACTGGGAACTGAATAAGAAGAAGGTAGATAACTTTAAAGAGAAAGGTGATACCCAAAACCGTTTTCAGGAACCCAAAACCGTTTTTTTACTTAAATATGTACATTTTTTACTTTCAGTATTGGTAAGTTTAATTTAAACATAAGTAAATTTTGTCAAATAATAAGTAAATTAAATTACTCAAAGTGTAAATTTCTATTTCTGACTACATCTTATCTTTCAGGCATATACTTACTAGTTTTAATTAAAAACTTACTAAAGTTAATATTAATTATTTTAATATAATATTTAAAAAGTCACTAAAAGATTTGATCTGTCACTAAAGGTAATAGAAACCTATAATAGCAGGTTTCCCTAATATTGTTACCATAACTATAGGCACTGTAGCACTGTCCATCAATTAATTGCTAGAAACCTGGCAGAACGTGCATGGGAAATAGGGCTCAATTAATTGTTAAAAATGTCGCAGATCAGGCATGGGAAATATGGGCCAATACTGAAATAAACGGCAGCTCAAATGGCTGTTGCAAAAGAACCAACGAAGAGTCCATATTGATTTGTTTGATCGTACACCAAATTTGACCGTAATTGCAGACGGGTCCTCCCTCTACATTAACAGTATGGAGTGTAAAGTCAACTTGATGGAAAGGTTAGCTCCCGCTTAGATCGCAAGTTTTTAGAGTTTTTATTAATTAATATATATGTGTCTATATATATATAAAATGATGTGATAAATGTGAAATAAAAATATGATTAAAAAATATGTATTCACAATTTAAAGAAAGTCTTAGATTTTTATTTGAAATTAGATGGACAAGATTGTTTGTAGACTACAATTTTGAACAGGTGTTAAAATTTAGGGAAAAGAGTCCCAATGACCCTCCAACTCTTTCCTAGATAAAATTTTAATCCTCCAATAATTAACGGTAAAAATTTGGCCCTCGATCTAATAAAATAGCATATTTGTGACCCTTCTGTCAAATTCAGTAGTTAAAATTGATAGGAAGCATCATCTCGTAAGACGCGCGACCAAATATCAAGGGTATTATAGTCTCTGAAGAAGAACACAAATTCTGCCAAATAAAAGAAGAACACAAATTGCTACTTACTCGGGAACTCCTGGGATGGCATATATCTTGCCCAATCTCTCCTCGACAATCATCCAATCCAAGGAAAAATCACTCCATCCCTCCTCCTCCTCTCCTCCATCTCCTCATCTACATCTACCCCCACCGCCTCCGTGGTCGATTTGAGAACCCTCTTGACCCTTTGGAGATGGCCGGCGCAGGAGACGAGAAGTACCCGCGTTAGCATCAGGGGATGTGGAAACTTATACTTGGCCAGTAGGATTTCAGAAGCAAAGCCGGCGGCCACATGTCCTAAATAGGACCATATGCTTGCTAGTGACACGAATGTGGCAATGCTCTTCTTGGGAAAGCCCAAGGATTTGCCAATTTGGCCCAAATTATCAATTGCCGTTAAATCGATTACCAATTTTGCCTCAAGTCAGCACTGGATTTGTTTCTGTCTTTAGCCGCGAACAGAATTAGCATATCGATGCTGCACACTGCTTGCAGGATTGTGTGATCTTCTCCCCTTTCCGGTGGCCTGAACACCTTGTCGAAGCAAGAAACGTGTGTCTCTTCTTGATTCAGTGGATCGGCGAGAGGCGTCTCTGCTTTCGCTGCCTGTGGTGCAAACTCACTCACCGGTGGTGGATCATATCAGTGGTGAAAATGTTGGAGGGAAAAGGAGTGGAAATTGTTGGAGCGAAAATCAGTGGTGAAAATGCTTTTACTCTGTCCCAGGAAAGAGACTATAATGCCCTTGATATTTAGTCGTGAGACGCGCGTCTCACGAGATGATGCTTTCCGTTAATTTTAACTATTAGATTTGACAGAAGGACCACAAATATGCTATTTTATTAGATTGAGGGCCAAACTTTTACCATTAATTGTTGGAGGGCTAAAACTTTATCTGGGAAAGAGTTGGAGGGCCATTGGACTCTTTTCCCTAAAATTTATTGTACTTTTGCATATTATTGTCTTAACATTGATTTATTTTTTGTTTTAGTATTTATATTGTATGGTGCATCTGAGATGGGCAATCGTAGAATTCCGAAACCTTACTGCCCCAACACGATAAAAAGTCATAGTAGAAGTACAAATGATTGATTATCCATGCAATAACTTAAAGTCCAATAAGCAAAATGCTATTTCTAGAATTGTAGAATATTAATCACCAAGTTTTGCTCCCTTCCTCGTTCCTTCGACTAACTACGAATATGACCTGGTACTACTATAAATACAGGCCAATACAATACTATGTGCGTCTATTAAAGGACTCCTAAGCTTGTTTTAGTCCTCCAAGCATACCAATTAAGATTTAGTGCATCTCTCCTTGGATCAAGGATGGCAGAAGCAATCACCAGCCATTCACAAAAAAGGTCGTCGAATCGTTGTCGCTTGACTCTTTCACTTTTAATTGTCTAATCAAAACACTGCTGCACGGATTGTTTCTGAAACTTGCAACAGTTTTATATTGTTTCTCCTCGTTTTTCTGGTACTCCTGTTAAGCTGTTTTAGTGCTCTGTTGCAGGTGTGCCGTGGTTACGGGGGGAAACAAAGGAATAGGTTTTGAAATATGCAAACAGTTGGCATCTCAAGGTATCCTAGTTGTGTTAACTGCCAGGGATGTAAAGAAAGGCAATGAAGCTTTTGAGAAGCTTAAGGATTCTGGCCTCTCTGAAAATGTTGTCTTCCATCAGCTTGATGTTGTGGAACCAGCTAGTATTGCTTCCCTTGTAGATTTCATCGAATCCCACTTTGGAAAACTAGATATCTTGGTAACATCTGCTGACCCGTTTCTGAATTTCTCTTCCCTTCTACGTGGTTTTCTAACTATCCTTTATGTCATCTTCATTTCGGTTTATTTGTTTGTTAGCGCGAAATAATATGAAGACAAGAAAAGGGCTTCTTGTACTCTTAGGAGTCCAGTACTAATCATAATCTGATCTCAAATTTGACCGCAGACAGATGTTATTCCTATCATTTACACTCCATGTACATTTAGCAGGAAAAGAAAATTCTTTTGTTTCTGTGGAAGTTGATGGAAATCCTGAATTCCTTTTCGAACGTCGTATTGCCCAACTAGTGCCGAGACCATATAGTAAGGGATAATACAATCCTAGAATTGAAAACTTTTGGCAATGCATTCATGTTCCTTCTTGGTTTGGTATGTAGCTGTTTCATTTATAAGCAAGATCTCAGATGCTTGTAATTCTTTGCATCCCAAGGAAGTTGTCCTTATTGAGATCATTATATATTTTTAATCGTCAAATGCCAAATGGTTCTTCTTAAACAAAGAAAGATCTACTCAAGGAGTCCTTAATCGAGTATTCTACATTTGAAGGGTTGAAATGAGTCGACCACACCAGAGTAGATATCCTATAATTTGAACCATCTGCCAAATGCATAATTGTTAGCAATCTTGTTAGGCGCAACTTGGATAAGTACCTCAGTTTTAAGTTTTTGCTAATGGGGTCTGTTCTGCATTCCCTGTTTAGCACTGGCCAAGGGAAACTCCCGTGGTACTTCAACTTGCAGATAGTTGCACAGCATTCAAAATTGAAACTTCAAGCTCATTTTAATAGCATTTTCGAGTTCATGTAGAAGTGAAACTAGAAATTTTGGAACTTCATGCAGGTTAACAATGCAGGAGCTGCAGGACTAATGGTTGAAGGAGATGTTTCCATTATTAAAGAGATAATTATGGCGGATGATCTAAAAGTTGCAGGTCAAGTAAGTCTTCTCTGTAACTAGCAATTTGTCTGCTTGCTGCAATCCTGATAGGATCGATTTTTAAATTGTATATTTACTACACAGAATGATCTACTCGCTATCTTGTATTGGCTATCAATAGCAATGAGCTTTCCGTGGAGAGCAAGAAGTTCATAACCAAATTTAAGTGTCATCAAGGCATTTTGCTGATGTTATTTCAATAAATTTTCCCGTCTGAGTAATCTGCACCAGAGCTTGACATATGTATAGTTGCTTCATATGCTAAACCTGCTAGTCCAAAATCAAAATTGTATCTCCATCCTCTATAGTTTGTTTAACTTGCATTGGTTAGACATCAGTCAACCTTGTCTCTTGTCTTCTGCTATAACCAGTTTGGCCAAAAAAGTACATTAAGAGATAAGGCTTTGTTCCAGCCTTACTTGCAGGGAAGTTTAGTACAAAGGGTTGGGGGAAATATTGATTTGAAGTTGTTAATTTGGCCATGAAAACCTTATAACTGACTATATGTAAAGTTTTGTTCTTTTGATTAAAAACTTTTGAGGATATCCACATCCACTTGCTGACTAAATTTGTTTTTTGCTCCTAGAATGACTTGAAATACTATGTTGCTGCCGATGCATTGCATCAATTCTGCTTTTAGTCGCTGTCCAACATATAGTGTGCTTGGTCCTAAGATTTCATTCTTACTGATGCAGGAAGTACCTGAGATAAAAGCAGATGCAAAACTCATTCAGACATATGATTTGGCTGAAGGGAGTCTGCAAACTAACTACTATGGTATAAAACAGATGATTGAAGCATTCATTCCACTCTTGCAGTTATCTTCTTCGCCTAGAATTGTAAATGTATCCTCTCTCTTGGGAAGGCTGGAGGTAACTTTCCTAGGAAAAGCTTTTGCAACCCGAGATATCTCATTTGTTTGGCTTTAATATCTACACTAAAAAGATTAAAGAGAAGGAGTTAATCAAAATTAAATCCTGATAAGGTCATATTTTGTTGAATTGTTATCCATTTCAAGGTACCAGTTCTTTTTTTCTGCCCGTTATGTCCATCTGAATTCAAGCTAGACAAGACCATGCAAGTGCTTAAGTCAGAAGGTATCCATATATACTGGCTTAAGTTAATTATTGGTGAAATTAATTAGTGATCAACCCAAATTGTTGAGTCTTGTACTCAAGCTAGCGTTTGGTGCGAATCAAGTACTTCTGTAGTTCAGCATATCCTTTTCTCTTCATGAATTCAACACTTGAAACATACTTCCCATTTCAGAGCAAGAGTCATGACTTGATTGTTCTCCACATTGTTTTTAGTTATTATCCCACCAATGGGCTATAGAGGTGCTAAGCGACGGCGAAAGCCTGACGGAAGAGAGAGTGGATAAGGTGGTAACTGAATTTCTCAAGGACTTCAAGGATGGCACTGCAGAAGCTAAATGTTGGCCTGCAACTTTCACAGCATATAAAGTCTCCAAAGCAGCAATTAATGCGTACACAAGGATTCTGGCCAAGAAATACCCAACCATCTGCATCAATTGCGTTTGTCCAGGCTACTGCAAAACAGATATAACCTGCAATACAGGATTTTCTACTGCTGCAGAAGGCGCTGAAGGTCCTGTAAAGCTTGCATTATTGCCTGACGGTGGCCCTTCTGGCTTGTTCTTCTCAAGAAAGGAGGTGACAACTTATTGATGAAAATAATCAAATGCAAGCTCATGCATCTAATAGGAATACCATTTTGGATGTATGTTGTACGAAGCTGGTGAAATCTTGTCAAGGTATTTCAATATGGGGGTCTCGGGGAATCGCCCACAATGGTTTTTGGGAAGTTTATTCCTGTATTGTTGCGTTGGTGGTACTAAATTTTGGTGGTGTTTCTTGGATTTTTTGGGCCTGGCCCTTCATATTTGGCTTTCTTCATTTTGTTTTCCTATAATTCTTTTTCTTTCATTTATTGTTTTTGTTTGACCTACAACTTTTAATTACAAAACAGTTAGTTCCAAAAACAAAACGAATGGTTTTCCAAAAAAATGGCAAAAATTCCCTGCTAGTTAATTGCTTACAAGCGTGGAAAGTGTGTTTGATTCTTACCTATACCCATCCAATGCAAGAGTCTAAAATTATCAATTAGCCTTCTTCATATTCTTAAAAGGGTTTGTCTATTGAATATCCATGGAACATTTGTAAACACACCAAAATTTCGTCTAATCTACCATACATATATACATACATACATACATACATATATATACATATATATATATAAATATACATACATTAACAATTATTACCCTTCATTATATTTATACACTTTCTCTAATTAAGGGGCCAGTGTTGGATGATGCGTTTTTTGGATGTTTATATAAAATTTACTATAACTTACTAGAAAAATTGTAGAAAAACTTTTGTCAATTAGAAGTTTGGAGAAAATTTTTCTTTTTCTTTTTTCTTTTTTTTTCCTTTTCCTTTTCCTTTTCTTTTTTCTCTCTTTCTTTCCCTTTCTTCTTCTTCCTCCCTTGCTACAGCCCGTCGCCGGCCACACCACCACAGGCAGCCGCCACCATCTCACCCCTTTTTTTTCCCTCTCACCTTCCCTCTCCTTTCTCTTTCTCCTCCCTCCCTCCCTTCTCCTCCTACCTCTCTTTTCTCCTATTCCTCCCTCTTTCCTTCTCCCGACCCCTCTCTCCCTCCCCCTACCTCCCTCTAGTAGCGAGATTAGCCACACGACCAAATTGAAGTAGGAGGAGAGGAAGGAGGAGGAGGAGAGGGGAAAAAAAGGAGGTGCTAGCGCCAGCGACGAAGGTAGAGATGAGTTCTATTGGGGGGAAGGAAGATGAAGATCGAAAGCAAGTAGGGAAAAAATTTTTGTTTTTTTTTGGATATTTTGAGATATGTATTTTAAAAATTTTGAAGAGTTTTTTAAGGCTGTTACAGCTAAAGTTGTTAAAAACCTAATAAAAAAAAATTAGGCAAAAAGCTTGCCTTCCAAACAAACCCTTATCTTTGAAAAAAAATCTAAGGGGGCGCTTGGTTCGTGAACCGGAATTGTAATTGGAATTGGTATCATATATAAATAATTAGTATGGGTATGGCCCTATGCCATCATTCCAATGTATATTGCTTGGTAAAAACTTTTTAGGTTTAGGTATCAGGATAAAATATTTTCTTTCTATTTCTTCATCGCTACACATACCGCCAGCTTTGGCAGTCAATTGACAGCAGCTCTTCCTTGAACCACCATTGCTGGCGAACGCAAGATAAAATCACAATTAATTGCTACCTTGGAGCTCTTACAATTATTGTATTTAGCCTCAAGATTTCCAAACCTTTCCAATCTAAGATAGATCTAAATTTAAACTACAAACTTCATCATCTTCTTTGGTTCCGGGTATCTTTTGCTGCCAAAACCACCCATAAATCTCATCATCACTAGCTGCTGTTTCTAAATGGAAATTTTGCTAATACTTAGGTTTTTAAAGAACTTCCTTGTACGTTTATTAAACCATAAAAATTAGCAAAATTTGCTTTTGGGAGAAGAAGATAAGTGAAACTTCCTTGTACGTTTATTAAACCATAAAAATTAGCAAAATTTGGTTTTGGGAGGAGAAGATAAGTGAGGAGTAAGAAGGTGTATTTTTACACAGGAATGGTGAGGGAGAGAGAGGAGAATGTCCAGTAAAGATGCAAAGTGGTGGAGGTAGAAGTACGAGAAGAGACGAGATTTGAAGGAAAGAAGATTCATATCTATTTTTGGACTTTTATATTTCATTTAGGAGCCAAATTTGGTAATTAACCAAAACCTCCCAATATAGTCAGGAATTGAGGTGGCCTTTGGTTCGCATGTTGAAATCGGATTCAGATTTGGAATCATTCATCTTGGATTTGGAATGGTGTCAATCATTCCAATATATTTGTTTGATTCAGTACCAGGAATTGTAATTGGAATTGGTATCATATATAAATAATTAGTATGGGTATGGCCCTATGCCATCATTCCAATGTATATTGCTTGGTAAAAACTTTTTAGGTTTAGGTATCGGGATAAAATATTTTCTTTCTATTTCCTTGAACCACCACTGCTAGCGAACGCAAGATAAAATCAGAATTAATTGCTACCTTGGAGCTCTTACAATTATTGTATTTAGAGCTCTTACAATTATTGTATTTAGCCTCAAGATTTCCAAACTTTTCCAATCTAAGATAGATCTGAATTTAAACTACAAACTTCATCATCTTCTTTGGTTCTGGGTATCTTTTGCTGCCAAAACCACCCATAAATCTCATCATCACTAATTGCTGTTTCTAAATGGAAATTTTGCTAATACTTAGGTTTTTAAAGAACTTCCTTGTACGTTTATTAAACCATAAAAATTAGCAAAATTTGGTTTTGGGAGGAGAAGATAAGTGAGGAGTAAGAAAGTGTGTTTTTACACAGGAATGGTGAGAGAGAGAGAGGAGAATGTCCAGTAAAGATGCAAAGTGGTAGAGGTAGAAGTACGAGAAGAGACGAGATTTGAAGGAAAGAAGATTCCTATCTATTTTTGGATTTTTATATTTCATTTAGGAGTCAAATTTGGTAATTAACCAAAACCTCCCAATATAGTCGGGAATTGAGGTGGCCTTGGTTCGCATGTTGAACTCGGATTCGGATTTGGAATCATTCATCTTGGATTTGGAATGGTGTCAATCATTCCAATACATTTGTTTGGTTCAGTACCAGGAATGTATATCATTATTATAGTTGATGTTTGATTCGTTGGCTCTTTGTAAATGATATATAAGAAATTTTCACTAATTAAATATATTAGTATAAATGTATTAGTAAATTTAGTATAACTAATTAATAATTTCTATTAACAAATATGTATAATTATTAATATAATTAATAATATCAATTATATTACATAGATTAATATATACATTGTATAATACATATAACTAACAATATCATTATTATAAGTTTGTAACTAATTAATTTAAATATTATATATATAATTATTAAGAAGAATATTCTTTCCTTAAATATCAACAAAGACAGCCCTCTCCTCAAATTCAATAGGCCAACTTCTGCAACTTCTACGAAAACCCCATGCCAAACCTTCTGCCACTTGTTCAATTCCATTAGGCATGCAACCAATCCATTGATTCAACAAATTGAGCAATCAAACTATACAAGACCACGTCGGAGGTGGGGGTCCCAAAGATTACCATTCATATTGAATTAAAAACTTCAAAAATGCCTTGAAAGACTATAGAATTGCACTTAATGATGAACATACATTTCCAACTATCATGTTTTTACCATCCTTTTCACATACCTATAAAACCGTAGGTCCATAAAGGGAGAACTTTCCGAAGTTTTGCTTAATAATCGAAGTTATGAAGCAGCATATGGAATGGAAACTTAAGTCTGGGAAGGAGGAAGTTTTAAAGGTAATCAAGACCTGGTTATGTACCACATCTCTCGTGATATTTAGCTGCTCCAGAAGTCCAACAACGGTCAAAGTTCAACATAGGGTTCAGGGTGAACCATGAACAACCGTAGTTGGTGGTTGGTAAACCGTATTTAGAAGGTAATAAGAAGATATAAAATCTATGATTCTCTGAAAGATTCAACCAAGCTAAAGTAACACTCATATGATACCAACCAATTAAATAAAAAAAATAAAAAATTGCTCACAGAGGCTTCCAAAAGTTGTACGCATTGAGAAGTAAATCTGTCAAGGATTTCTAAATAAATCTGTCAAGGATCATCTCTAGCCATTGTTTCAAAATCATACCATAACCAGAAGATAAACAAGGTTTTGAGAAGTAAATCTGTCCAGGATTTCTAAATAAAATAGAACTTAATTTGTCAAGGATCACCTCTAGGCCATTGTTTCATAATCACACCATAACCAGAAAATAAACAATGTTTTGAAGATGGACAGTGTTATCTCTTGGTAGTTGGTAAACCGCATTTAGAAGGTAACTAGGAGGTGAACACCGCGCAATGTGCGGTGTGAGTTTTAGGCTTGCCCAAAAAATGCCCAGACATCTTAGTTGAGATGGTATGCTTCGGTCCGGAGGTACCAAATGAAATCCATTGAAATATATATTTACACAGATATGAGTTCGCAAGAAAGCCAGACAGAGGAGAAGAAAAGAAAGAGAAAACACCGAAAGCAAACAAAACCTGCAAGACAAAGATGAAGCAAGAAGGCAGAGAAGAAAGCAGATCAGAAAATCCTAGGAAAGGAGGAAAAATGGAACAATACCTCCGAGGCCGTGTAAACCGCCAATTTGTCTCGGAATTCAACCTGCATTGGAAGAGACAACCATGATAAACCAGCTAATCATCATTCTGGGGAGCGTTCTCCTCGTAGCTTCAAAACAATGCAGCTGTAAGAGCTGAGAAAGGAAAGGAATTCAAGGCTCTCTGATCGACCCAATGACCCGAACCATTCCAACGGAGCATCTGGAGAGAACAAATTTATCCACAATACATGTGCGAGGCACGTGACAACGACGAAAGTTTTGACTGAATTCCTTTGGCGCATTGTATGTTATATTGATTAAGCCAAAAATATAACAAATAAAAAACAGGCAAGTTGGAGAATTAGTGAGCCAAAACTCATTTGGGAAAATGGTCCAGAGTACATATTATTTGCGACAAAGATCCAGAGCATGTAGTACGTAGTCATTATTGTATAATAGAAACCAAGGCCCAAATGAATTGTGCATAAACAAAGGGAGATTTAATTGTCCACTTGATGATGGAAAGGTTAGCTCCCGTTAGACTGCAAGTTTTTAGAGTTTTCATTATATATATGTGTGTGTGTGTGTGTGGGTGTGGGTGTGTGTGTGTGTGTACACGCAGCAATTACCTCAGGGGAAGAAGGCTGCTTCAAAACAAGGTAGATAGCTTTGATTGGAAGAAGGAATTCCTTAGGCATCACTACAACAGCCTGAAACTGTCAAAAAACCACAAATATACAAAGTCAAATGACACAGAACCTGTTGGTTTTCAAACAGTTATGCACAGTGATCAGCGTGGAGACATAAAAGAACTACTTTCAAACACTTTAAACTGTCACATCCCTTGGATAGCTCTCCTTCACATATTGTTTAAATGCTGATAGTTGTACCCCCAACGCTATCATTCTATAGAAACAACATATAAATAGAGTTAACTGATCTCAAATCTTTGAATAACAAATTGTCATCTATGAGAAAACCATAAAAAATGATTACATACCAAACATTGCAAATCTTGAAATTCCACAGCTGCCTAAAAAGACAACCTCCAAGTAATAAAGATGGAGAATTAGAACCTCTTCCAAACAATGCCCACTACACAGATGAGTTCTTCAACCTAAGCTCCTAACATGAAGAGGAGGACATATAACCATTCAGAAGCCACGCTAACCATCATGATGCATATGACAAAAGAAGCTCTCCAGAATGTAAATGCACAGGTAACAACAGGACGAAAACAATCGAATTCACACACTCTATTTGAACAAGACCTGATGATGCCAGTTACCTCCTCAGAGCAAACAGAACTAAAGAGTTTGGGATGAAGGGGAACTCTTGGAACGAGACCAATAATCAGTACAACTTTAAACAGAGTATTATCAGAACACAAGAAAGAAATACACGAGAAAAAAGGGTTTTTTTTAGAAAAAAGGGTTTTTTTTAAAAAAAAGAGAGAGAGAGAGAGATAGAAAAGCCTTTAGATGCATTAGAAGATGCACGTCTCAATTCCAAGGTCATAGCACAAAGAGGGGACACAGATATTTACAGGTGTCAAACCCACTAAGTTGGCTCAAGCACGAAGGAAGAGATAATGTGAACTCCCTTCATTAACAATGCAAAAAGCCTTTGATCTTGGGCAGGAGACGTAAAGTTGTCACCAAATTTCCGAATCATCTAGACCAACATTCCAGCAACCACTGTCATGTTAAGGAAGTTAACTAGTTCCTGTGAAACACACGAGTTGTTCAATCCTACAATACTAATGAGGTAGACACAGAGCAAATCAATCATCATATCCAGAAGGTTTGAACCACTCCTCAGGAAAAACAATTTAAAAAAATAATAAAAGTAGGGAAAGAGCAAACTTGTATGAAATCTCATGAACCAATCAGGGTAACGACAATGACCAAAACTCCAAAGCTCCCCTACAATCAAAGGCAACATGCAGAGCCAGTTAATAATGACTCCCTACAAGGCGGCAAATTTTTCAAGCAAAAATTAGAACAACGTGGAGAGTATGAGAGAGAAAAAAAAAACTCCCAATTCTAGAGCACATCCATCAAAGAAACATCTCTCCTTGGGAGGCCAGAATTCCGCCATTCTAAAAACAAGGCCAATCTCTAAGCAACAACAACAATACAGTAATATGATGCCAAAATTGCCCGATAAACTGGAATACCAAACAAAGTCATGTATGTTAGATAACATCTATGGTTTTTCAATCATTATCATCCAAACAAAAAAAAAAAAAAAGAACACCCAATCATTCTTCAGGAAAACAGCACAAAACCAGAAGAAGAGAAAGAAAAACTCCCCCAAAATTTTGTAACGAAACCAAAAGCTGTATTGAGGTGTTGGAAACCAGTAACTAAACCAAAGGCTGTCGATGCACAGAATTCTGGCTAAGAGTGTTATAGAATAAGCAGATCAACTAGCAGACCAATAGTGCTACCTTAGCACAAACACCCTTTATGAATCTTTATGAATCTTTCACTCATTATTTGAACAAATTTGAAAGCTTATGAATCTTTTCTATTTTCTTGAACAAATTTGACACAGTCACTTTCTGCTATATGTATTTTCCTTTTCTGTGACATTTGTCCAGATGTCCCCGGAGACAAAGCAGCTAGCACTCATTCTACCTATATACCTTCACAGGTTAACTATGGAAAAACCAGATGCATATGTATTGAAAACTGTAGTGCTCAAATAGCATCTGAATGACCATAGAAATGAATTTAGCATTGCCGCATGAAACTCTCAAAAACCTTTACTAACCGTGAAGTTAACAAGGGGATGCAAACATAAAGAGCTACATGGTATAGAACAGGTTCAGACATCTGAAGATAAACAATTCACGCAAATATTAAGCAACATATAGCCCATATAGCTTCCAGAAAAGGAAGGAAAAATTAAATGAAATGGCCTTTGAATCAGTGTCTCCAAACAGTGAGCAAGCAGAAAATTTGAAAGTGGAAAAAGAGAACAGTAAAAATAACCTCAGTAAGAGGAAACCTTCACTTCTTCAACTTTAAAAGCTCTTTTAAATATGCATATTCAGCCAAACAAGCAGGAGAAGAACCACAAATGTGTGCAAAGCAACATGACATGATAGACCACCAACAGAAGTGTAGATTATCAAATACTAACACAACAACCTCTTAGAAGTTCCACAATTATAATAGATGACCACCATTTTCTTATAGCTGAACCCACAATTCTGAAGATATGTGGTGCAAACAAAGAGAAACAGGGCATTAGACGGACCTCAATAGTATTGCTCGCAAGATTTGCAAAAAGCCAAAACAAGTTCCCATACCTGCAAACCCAAGGGAAACCCTCCAGAAGATCATTTGAAAATTTTGAAAACTACTATAAAAGTTGCAGAACAAGAATTGTAACAAGTGCTTGAAAGAGTAGAATTGACAGTTCATCAATCAACCTGGCAATCTACAGGGTCCAACAGATTCAGAAGCATATGTTATGAACATTAAGACTGCGTATATCAAAGGTGTTGGCAAAGCAAGTAGTGTCCAGTCAGTGTATTCTCTGCAGCAACAAAAACAGGACCTGCTGCTATAAATACACCATAGAAACTAAAATAGCTAGTCCTCGACCAATGAATTCCAATTCATAGACCAGGAAAAAACATATATTTATAACTTAAGCTGATGAACTGCAATTAGTAATTGCATCAGAACAAACAATTATTTCATAACCACACCACATAACCAGGAATGAACATTATTCGTGAAACTCTGCCGACCAGTACCAGCTTCAAAAGCAGATAAAACAGCCAGAGATTTTACCATGAGGCCAATCTTGAACCTGAGCTCCTAGAATACAAACAAGACACAGATGCTACCACAGCCCAAAAATGGTCAATTGTCAAGCACTAATAAGCAATTAGTTTAGGCAGAATAGAATTCCTTTCACACCAATGTGGATAGCCTTTAATCTGAAGGAGACCGAGGATGTCACTACAACAGCTCAAACCAATTGAAACTCCTACAACAAATATGCAAATGCGATACAGATAACCCAAGACAAAGTAATACACGTACTCCTTTCAATCACTTTATAACTGCACACTGACTTGCTTCAATGTCTAAAATGATGATGACTGGAGCCTCTCAAAATTTAACCAGAAACTATCCATTATTGTTCAGAGAAACCTAGCAAGAAAAGTATGGAAAGCAAAAAAACTCCGGTTCTCCTGCAAAAGCATGTAGACCACAACAGAGGACTTGCAATTCTATCCACATTAAAGCACAGTGGAATTCACTGCCACCCCAAATAATTAAAAATAATTATTCAAGAAATCAGCTCCAATGAAAGAATGAAATCAACAAAAAAATCAAAAGCAGGTAAAAGAGCCTGGGATGTCACTTGAATGCAAGCTGCTGCAGTAGAGGAAACATAGGCGTCAATCACATCCCCAAAACCAATAACTGATCAAAAACAAACGAACAATTAGTTTGACCTTCAACGATGTAAATAGCCTTTGACAAAAGAAAGCCCCAAGATCTAAATGACAACAGCATGATTGAAACCCAAGATCAAAAGATGTAGATATATAGTTGTTACAGAAAATCCCAAAACTGTTAATCTTCAAACAAAGTAATACACATAGGGAAGCAGAGACCTCCTTTCAATTATTTTAATGACATCACCGAGCTCACCAAATCCAAGCTCCTTCCAAAATGAAGATGACATGTTATCCTGATACACTATCCACTATTTCATCGAGAAAAGCTCAGAAGGAAAGTAGGGACAGACCAGAAATTCCCATTTTCTCTTGCAACATCAAGCAGATAGGTAAATTTTAATGCCACACCAAACAGCAGAATGAATTCACCAAATAATCAAGAAGCAGATAAAAAAGCCAAGGAGGTCTTCAAGCACAACACCCATCTTGCGGTTCCAACAATAGAGAGAAGACATCAAACATCAATAGAAAACCGATAATTGATGAAGCACAGAGGATCAATTAGTCTGAGGCAGAAAAGAGTTCCTTCAAAACAATGTAAATAGTGTTAGCCTCAGAAGAAGGAAGCAAGAATCTCAATGAAAACAGGAAGACACAAACCCAAGATCGTAAAATAAACACAAAAAGTCCTTACAGATAATCTGATTCATGCTAATTTCCAAAAAAAATGTAATGCTCCAAAGAAGCAGAGAACACCTTTCAATCACTTTAACCCAGTAAGTTCTAAAATTCCAAGCTCCTTCCTAAAATGAAGATGGATAAACAGACTTAGCTAACCATAAACTATTCATTAGAATTGGAAAAAAACCTAACTTGAAGTAGGGAAAGAGAAAAACTCCTTCAGGGATCTCCTGCAGGGATGTAGTTTAGGAAGCCTAAAATGTCAACAAGAAACAGCATGACCCAAAACCAAGACCCTAAAATAGAAATATATATTCATTACCTATAATCCAAAAACTGTCAATTTTCAAATTGAAGTAATAAGCATAAGGGTGTTGAGAACTTTTTTCAGACATTTTAGCCACGCAAACTTCTTCATCAAAGTAGGGGACAGAAAGGGTTTATAACTAACCAAAAACTGTCCACTGTTGGTCAAGAAAACCTGCCACACCAAGTACTCAAAGAGAAGAACAGCTCAACTTTTTGGCTCAAGAATCATGTTGAAGATAATTCACAGCTACAGTACTTAACGATCAATCTTGAATCCAGGCCACTACAGAACAGATTAGAGATGGACATTTAAAATATTCCCAAAACCACCAAGTTCAGCAACAATTAGGTGCAATTAGTTCAAGGTAGAAGAGGACTCGTCTAAGACAAGGTAGATAAGCTTTGATTGGAAGAAGGAAGCCCTGAGATATCACTACTGTTAAGAGAATATAAGTATTCTTGTAGATAATAAATTAGTAAGGGTATTTTTGTAAATAGTTTGTTAGGGTTGTACTCCTATAAATACTAGTTGGTCACTCATAATATGGTGACTAGATGTTTTCCTCCCAAGATACCTGTTAACATGGTATCAGAGCAAAAGTCCTAGGGTTAGGGTTAAACATCTAGCAAAAGTTTTGGTCATCGCGACTGTTCACGCGATACTGTTCACCGCGACTGTTCACGCGGGCACTGTTCATAGGGTACTGTTCACGGCACTGTTCACACGTCACTGTCATCTTGAGTTTTGACCTTTTCTTTGGTTTGATGTGCCATTCGCCATGGTTGAAAGGTTTGTTAATGCGGTTACCAATGACCACATTGAATCGAGTTTTTCAGCACATGGGTCCCAGAAGACTGTTACTATATCTGAGGAGGATTATGTTAAATTCCTACAGTACCAAGTTACAAATCACGCATCTCTTCCCTCTGCTTCTTTAGCACAAAAAGGTAATGACTCATGGATTATTGACTCCGGGGCTACTGATCATATGTCAGGTACCTCTAAAATTTTTTCTAATTTTCAAGAGTCTACTCCATATCCTCATGTTACTTTAGCTGATGGATCTACCACTAAAGTTAAAGGACTAGGCACTGTAGAAATTAATCCATCACTTCCGCTGTCTTCTGTTCTTTACGTACCCAATTTGCCCTTTAATCTAATGTCTGTTAGTAAGCTCACTAAATTTCTACAGTGTACAGTTACTTTTTCTCCTGATTCTGTTGTCATTCAGGATTTAAAGACAAAGAGGACGATTGGTGGAGGGCATGAGCATAATGGTCTTTATTTTCTCAACTTCAATGGTCCGATAGCATGTCCTGCTACTGTTTCTCCTCTTGAAATTCACTGTCGTTTAGGTCATCCGTCTTTACAAAATTTGAAAAAGTTGGTTCCTACTTTGAGTCAATTATCTTCGTTAGAGTGTGAGTCTTGTCAGTTAGGAAAGCATCATCGTGTTTCTTTTGCTCCTAGAGTCAATAAACGGGTTTTTGAACCGTTTTTGTTAGTTCATTCTGATGTTTGGGGTCCTAGTCGAGTCACTTCAAAGTTAGGTTTTAAATATTTTGTAATCTTTGTTGATGATTTTTCAAGAGTTACATGGCTTTATTTAATGAAAGATCGTTCAGAACTATATTCCATTTTTTGTGCATTTGTTGCAGAAATAAAGAATCAATTTGGTGTGCCGGTACGTATACTTCGCAGTGATAATGCGAAAGAATATTTTTCCACTCCTTTTAATACCTTTATGAGTAAGTCTGGTATTATTCATCAGTCCTCTTGTCCTCACACTCCACAACAGAATGGAGTTGCTGAAAGAAAAATTGGACATATAATCGAAATTGCTCGAACAGTGTTGTTGCACATGAATGTGCCCAAACAATTTTGGAGTGATGCAGTTCTAACTGCATGTTATTTAATTAATCGCATGCCATCTAATATTCTTGGAGGTCAATTACCTCACTCCATTCTTTTTCCTTATGAATCTGTGTTTAAATTACCTCCTCGTATTTTTGGATGTGTGTGCTTTGTTCATCAGCTTACTCCCGGGGTGGATAAATTGGATTCTCGTGCCATTAAGTGTATTTTTTTAGGATACGCACGAGCGCAAAAAGGGTATAGATGTTACAGTCCAGTTTTAAATCGATTTTTTACTTGTGCTGATGTTACTTTCTTTGAATCTACTCCATATTTTATCAAACAAAGTACGCCTTGTGAGTTAGACCAGTGTCCCTCTTTTTCCTCTCCTGTTTTACCAGTCCCTTCCCCTTTATTACCTGAGTCATCTAGTCCACCAGATTCCATAGCTCGATTATCTCGTCCTCATCTTCAAGTTTACTCTCGTCGTTCCATGGTTGAGAAAGTTCCTGATATGCCACGCACTTCACCAATTAACTCTCAATCTTCAAATTCAGGTATGACGCCCTCCTGTGAGTTAGATCTTCCTATTGCTTTACGCAAAGGTAAGAGACATTGTACTTCCCATCCTATTTCTAATTTTGTTTCTGATTCTCGTCTCTCTATGTCATATTCTTCTTTTGTTGCTTCCCTTGATTCTATCTCCATTCCTAAGTCTATTACCTATGCTCTTAATCATCCTGGTTGGAGATTAGCTATGCAAGAAGAGATGTCTGCTTTGGAACAAAATGGTACTTGGGATCTTGTCCCTCGTCCTTCAGGTAAGCCTGTTGTTGGTTGTAAATGGGTGTACACTATAAAAGTGCAGCCTAATGGTTCTATTGATAGATTGAAGGCTCGGCTGGTAGCTAGAGGATTTACTCAGGTGTATGGAGTAGATTACTTAGAAACATTTTCTCCTGTTGCAAAGATTACCTCTGTTCGTCTTCTTATCTCTTTGGCAGCAACTTATAATTGGCCATTGCATCAGTTGGATGTGAAAAATGCATTTCTGCATGGAGATTTGAAAGAAGAGGTATATATGGAACAACCTCCTGGATTTGTTGTTCAGGGGGAGAATCCGCGGTTGGTTTGTCGTTTGAAAAAATCCTTATATGGATTGAAACAGTCTCCGAGGGCTTGGTTTGGCCGGTTTAGTAGTGTTGTCATGGAGTTCGGTCTGACAAGATGTGGAGTAGATCACTCTGTATTTTATCGGCATTCTAATGCTGGTAAAATTTTATTAGTTGTTTATGTGGATGATATTGTGATTACAGGTGATGATGTTGTGGGAATCCAGAAACTTAAATCTAATTTGCAGGCAAACTTTCAGACAAAGGATTTAGGTTATCTACAGTATTTTCTGGGTATTGAGGTAGCTCGGTCTAAATATGGGATTTATTTATGTCAAAGGAAATATGTACTCGATATGTTGAGTGAAATTGGGATGTTAGGTTGCCGACCTGTGGATACTCCTATGGATCCCAATGTGAAATTAGCAAGAGATCAAGGTGCATTACTTGATGATCCTAAGCAATATCGAAGACTTGTGGGTAAATTAAATTATCTCACTGTAACGAGACCTGACATTTCGTTTGCAGTGAGTGTTGTGAGTCAATTTCTTGATACCCCTCGTACTAGTCATTGGGATGCTGTTGTACGGATTCTCAGATATCTTAAGAGTGCTCCTGGAAAAGGGTTGTTGTATCAAAATCATGGACACACTGATATTGAAGGATATAGTGATGCAGATTGGGCTGGTTCTGCCTCAGATCGAAGATCGACCACAGGATATTGTGTGTTTGTTGGTGGTAATTTAGTGTCGTGGAAGAGTAAGAAGCAAACAGTTGTATCCAGATCAAGTGCAGAATCTGAATACCGCGCTATGGCTCACACTGTGTGTGAGTTGGTTTGGTTAAAGAGCATATTACTTGAACTTGGGTTTGAGCATAAACAGCCTATGAATTTAGTGTGTGATAATCAGGCGGCTGTTCATATTGCGTCTAATCCAGTGTTTCATGAGAGGACAAAACATATTGAAGTTGATTGTCATTTCATTCGAGAGAAATTGCTTGACGGGGTCATCAAGACATCTCATGTACCGTCTGTAGATCAATTGGCTGATGTGTTTACCAAGAGCTTAGGGGGCTCTAGGGTGAAATACCTTTGTAACAAGTTGGGTGCTTATGATATATATGCTCCAACTTGAGGGGGAGTGTTAAGAGAATATAAGTATTCTTGTAGATAATAAATTAGTAAGGGTATTTTTGTAAATAGTTTGTTAGGGTTGTACTTCTATAAATACTAGTTGGTCACTCATAATATGGTGACTAGATGTTTTCCTCCCAAGATACCTGTTAACAACTACAACAGCTCAAAATTGCCAAAAATCCACAAGTATACGGAGTTAAATGATCCGGAAACTGTCGGCTTTCAAATATAGATAGTTATAAACAGCAATCAGCATAGAAATGTTCAGAACTACTTTCAAACACTTTAAACTGTCACATCCCTTGGACAGCTCTCCTTCGCATACTGTTTAAATGCTGATAGTTGTGCCCCCAACTCTATCATTTTATAGAGATAACATAACAATAAAGTTAGCTGATGTCAAAATCTTCCGATAATAAAGTGTCATATACGAGAAAAACATAAAAAATGATGACAAACCCAATATTGCAAAACTTGAAATTCCACACCTGCCTAAAGAGACGACCTTCAAGTATACAGGCAGAGAAACAGAACTCCTTCCAAACAGGGCCCACTACACAGCTGAGGAATATAACCCAAACAACCATTTAGAAGCTGCCAAAAGATACCCTAACCATCACGTGTATAACAAGAGAAAATCTCCAAAATCATGTAATGCACAATGATGAAAACAATCGAATTCACACTCCCTATTTGAACAACACAGAGCATAATTGATGATGCCAGTTACCTCTTAGAGCAAACAGAACTGAAGAGGTTGGGATGAAGGGGAATCCCTGGAACAAGACCAATAATCAGTACAACTTTAAACAAAGTATTGTTAGCCAAAAACAAGAAATGCATGAGCAAAAAAGTTACTTAAAAAAAAAAGAAGAAGAAAAGCCTTTGGATGCATTAGAAGATACAGGTCTCAATTCCAAGATGCTAACATAAAGGACCCCGCGCCGGGGGGGGGGGTGGGGGGGCATTAGATATTTACAGGTGTCAAAACCACTAAGTTGGCTCAAGCAAAAAGGAAGAAATAGTGCGTACTCCCTTCGTTAACAATGCAAAAAGCCTTTGATCTTGGACAAGAGACGTAAGTTGTCATCAAACCTCTGAGTCATCTGGACCCAGATTCCAGCAACCAAAGTCATGTTAAGGAAGTTAAATAGTTCCTTTGAAACAGAGAACTTGAGTTGTTCAATCCTTCAATCCTAACGAGGTAGATGCAGAGCAAATCAATCATCACATCCAGAATGTTCCCAATCAGTCCTCTGGAAAAACAGCTCTAAAAAATTAATAAAAAAAAGGAAGGGAAAGAGCACAATTTACGAAATCTCATAAACCAATATAGCAGGG